AACATTTTTGTTTTTTTCCCTCCCACTTTTCATTACATTTTGGAAAACAGTTTACAGGATTGAAGGTTCAGATTTATTTGCACCTTACATCTAGGGTATGCAATAAAAATAGTTGTATTCTTTTTGTTGCTAAGGGTCGAAACCACTAGTGATGCTGATATGGTGGCTGTCAGCCCACTCATCCACAGTGGATCAAGCACACTGAAGAAATAGCTATTATTTCTGTGAAATTCCTGGATGCTTTGATTACTTTTGAGATATGTCATACACCCAGAGAGAAGCTGAAACTGCATTATTGGGCTTCACACAGGTAGCCAGCCCAAGTCTGGCTGGTTATGAGCTGGGGGTGGAGGTCTGGGTACAGCAGAGGGTAAGGATTGCCACCCACTGAGGCCTGGTGTCACACCTATCACAAGTGTGAGAGAAAACCTGTTGGTGTAAACTTTCCAGGTAATTAACTTTTGAGTTTTATCTTATATTTGCTATGGATGCTTGTGATTTGTTACTAGGGGTCACCAGGTACACAAAAAATTGTGTATCAGAACCCTTAAATTTGTTGTGTTGATTTTCTGTATATATGGAATTTCTCTTGCTGTTACAGATACAATAAATGCAAAACTTACAAGTTTTCTCAACTCACAGTTCATCCTCACAAGCAGTAGATCAGGCTACATATTTGCCCTTGACTATTTCTGTTGTTTTGGAAACATTTCCTTCAACAGGAAGAGGTTCCAATCTGTCGTGCCTCCATGCCATGACCTGCTCACATCATTCTTTCTGCCTCAGTTTTTCTCAGTTTGTGAGGGGAAGATTAAGTCTTCAAGATTAATCAGTTACTGGGTTTAGAGTACTTAGAGATACTCAGTAAAAGGTACTAGCACAGAAGTGTTGGGCATGAAGACAATGAGAAGTGCTCAGAATGCTCATATCAGGGCTTATTAATCACCATGTAAATTTACAGTGCTGTTCAAACATTTCACAGTGATAAGACCTTTGCTTTAGCATTAGACCTCAGCTTTAATGATCACCAAGGAATAGGATCTACATGCCCCACTTCCTGTCATGTGTTACTGCATTATTTGGACTGCTGGATGTGCTTATGGAAAAGCAGAATGCAATTTAAACCTGCAAGAGCTTCTCCAAACCTATTTCAGAGCCTTTTTACTAACAAGAATTATTATTTATTTCTCTGTAGCCCTGGACTTGACCTTTGCAGGGCCACAGTGATATGCTACATGGACAGGGCTGTGGGGTCCAATCAATCAATAGCTATTTTTTCCTCTGCACCTGTGAGTGACAGCTGCCCTTTAGATGGAGATAACTCAAAAAGATTTGATCTTCAGAATGGAGTGAGGAGCTTCACTCCTAATACAGGCTATGTACTTCCATGATGTGTTTTGTGTTTATCAAGTCATGGCTCTTATGATACTTTTCTGAGATAAGTAGGGTCTTTCCTTGTCCCTGACAGGGACATTTAAACAAAATGTCATAGATTTACAGAATAAGGAGATGAAGTTGATGTTGAAGATGGGGAGTTTCTATACATGCTATCTGGACCTGAGACATTTCCGTGTTTATGTTGTGTAATATATTGCCAATTCTGGCAACATATGCAATGTTTACCTCAGTGTTATGTGCTACTGAGTTGAGATCCCTCTACAGAAAGGCTTGCAGCCCTGATGGAGCTTCACTCCTTTCAGGGCTGAGCTAACAGAGGAGGCAGTAGGTGGGCATATCAGGTCAGACGTAATCTTGCATCTCTGCAGCAGAATCAATTCAATGTCCTCTGATAACCAGCTACTGAAGATTCATTCTCAGGTTTGTATTTGAAATTCTGGGATCCTAGCACAGGATATAAAGCATAATACTTGACTATAATTCTGGCTCAACAGTCTTGGAGCCTGCTCCTTTTTCACTATTGGACCTGGGGTGGTAGGAGTGGAAGGAATCACAGTGCCATAGTGCTGCTTATTTGGGGACACTAAATACAGAAGATCAAGGATGAAAGTATCAGCTTGTATAGGTGATGTGTTTGCTGGTTTGTACTTCTGAGGATTTTATGTCAAATCTGATTCACTCATTGGCCATTTCTGTTGGATCTTCTTAATTGTTATTTGCATTTGCAGTGACAGTCATACAAAGGCCACTCAGGTTAATGGTATGTACCATTTGCAAGTGAGAAGTGACCTGTATTTAATGAACAAAATATTGTGTAAGTGTGTGTCACTGTACCAGCAATATCATGCTGCAACCTGTGTTATCTTCTTGACACCTATATGTGTTCATTTCTCCCATACTTCTTGCCATGACCTCAGTGGCCTTGTGCTGCAGCACTGCAATGCCAAACTGTGAGAAGGAAAGCACACAAGAACTCATGCCTCAGAATTCACCCAAACGAGAGGAAGAACTGGGAAAAAATCAAACTGTAATTTCTGGGGAAAAAAAAAATTGCTGTGTTCTAAACAGATTATCTGTGTCCCCTGTAACTAACCTTCTTTTCCCTATATTTTCATGACCAGCCTTGAGCTGAATTTGTAGATGATCAAAGCAAGCATCTTCATGCCCCACCAGCTGGAAAAGATCCGTCATTATGGTGCATCTGAAATAATGAAGCCTATCAAGCTTCAGCTTGTGCTAAAATCTTTTGCAAGCACTACATTTTCCTATACTGGCAACATAAATAGTATTTAGTAGAAAAAATAGTAATGAGCTACATGCAAGTTAGGAAAAATGAAGGTGAATTATAATCCATATTTATGCAAACTATTTAGGATGGACAACTTGTGCTCTCTTAGGGAACAGGACTTCTGGAGCTGAAACCCGTTCATATGTTGCTGCCTTCTCTGACAGACAGACCTTTTCACTGTGACCTCTGGAAGCTGTTTTTCAGTTGCATTCTCTTTGTTTAGTTTTAGCAATAAACCATTTCTTGACTGTAGGGAGATGATGATCCAGACTTAGATCAGTAATAGAGCTTTGCCCATCCTGCAACCCCAGCTCGCTGGCTGCATGAGCCCCACTCAGTACAGTAACACATACAGGAGATGTCTATGCCCAGAGGCTCCATCCCACGGTGGGCAGGGAGGTGGCCTGGGAATTCATGAGCACACTTCACAGCTGCTGCAACCCAGCAAGGTTTGTTCCAAAGCAACACTTATTGCATAATCAGGAAGAAAATGAATCAACCTCTATCAAATCTACCAAGGAAACATAGTTCGAGGCCTTCTGCAAAAAAATAGCTGCCGTCGGAGGGCAGGGACTGTTGCAAAGGTGAGGCAAAAGAAACAGGCTTTGGAGGAGAAGCAGGTGTCTTAATCTCATTTGGTAAGGACAAGAATTTGAAGAGGTCTTAAAAGACACTTGGCAGGTGTTGGAACTTGAAGTGTTCCTGGGAGGAGGGAAGGGGAAAGGGAGGCAAACCAGCAAATGAATTAAAAACTGCAGGGCCGTTGTCTCGGATCAAAATGTCCTGTGGTACACAAAGCTTTCAGGTAGCTCCGCTCTGCTTTAGAACCTTGAACCACGAAGAAAGACTTCGATTTTCGAACTCTGGTCTGTCTAAATCGGGCAATTCTGTCCATGGAGTGCCCTCTGTTGTACGCAGTGGCTAAGTGCAGGCCATCGCTCTGCGGGCTCTCGGGTGGATGCTGCCTGCTGGAACTTCAGCTTCTAAACAGCTCTGTTTTCCTCCGTTCCTTATAAATAGCTATGGACTGAGATTACACCTACAGGAGCAAACAGAATCCACGGTAAGAGGGATCTGTGTGTATTTGGAAACTCTGGCTGTAAGGTATGCACATTTTAGCTGTGCACGATCTGCATAGCAAGCAGATTTCTAAAAGAACAGGGACCTTAAAATCCTTAATTTGATGGAATTCTTCAGAGATTTCCTCTCTACAAAAACAACAGCAAAAATTCTAGAATGTGCTTGTGCTGCAGTGTGTACTGACACAGGGACACCCACTGTGTTCATTAATAGGAGGTGTAACAGTGTGACAGCTGTAGTCATTCTTTTCTCTTTCACATTTAGGATCCTGGCAGTTTCTTAGGAATGTTTCTTACACTTTCAAGAGTTTTGTTCAATATTGTTGTTTTAGTATTTACTGGAAATAATCCATCAATCTTTCTGGGAAATTGTTTCATGTCCTGCTCTTCATAGATCACCATATCCCTTTCTAGTGATTTCTTCTTACTGTTTAAGAGCTATTGTTACTCATGCACAGAGCTAATACCTGGACCGTGTTGTATCTGACACCAGTTATGTCTTCGAGGAAATGTAAAGCTCATTAGCTGGTTTTCCAACTTCAGATGTGCTTAATTTGTATCCACACCATGCATCTATGCAGCACTGAGCCTGTCCAGTAGGCAAGACATCCTACTCCAAACAGCACTGTACCTTATGCAGCATGTGTCATACTCTACTTAACCCAACTAATCGATACTGACAACGCTCAGAAGCAGGAAAGAAATGTCAGGTAATTAATTCTAAGGACCTTCTAACTATTGCTTATAAAAAACATCCTTTTCTCCCATCCTTGATGTATTAGGTTAGTTTTCATCTCATTCAAAGTCTCACAGATCAAGGAAGGACTTTGCAAGATCAGTCCTGGAAGGGAGTTTGGTACCACACTGAGACTGACAGGGAATAGGGACCCTGAAGGTGAATTTGGTGCTGAAAATTGTAAAGTTTGCATATCTCTGTGTTCCTTATGGAAGCAAGTATTGTTGGCATCAAAACTCTTTAAAAGGAGGCATTGGTAGAATACATAACCCTTGGGTTTTTACTAGTTTAAAATGCCTACAGAGACTGGAGAGGCAAATCTGCTTTGGGATTCTCCGGTATTCAAGACACAAAGCTCATGGAATGTTTTATTTATCTGGTAAAACGGTGCACAAGGAATTTTTGATACTTTCATTTTTCCTCTGTAAAATATATTTAGTGAAGAAGTCCAAGTCCAAACAGGATGGAGAAAAAGTAAGCAACACAGCTGGGCTGTGTTTTATAATAAACCAGCATAAAATCCCATCACAAAGAGTAAGTGGAAGATGATATCTGGAAGAGAACAGAGACTAAATGTGAGTACTTCCCTGTCAGCTACTTTTCATATTCTCTTCACATCACCAGCAATGCAACTGCAGCCCCGTAATGTGGCTCTGTCACCATATCAAGTTTTTACAAATAGGATTTGAGAGGCCTTTTTCAAACCCTCTCCAAATAAAAATGCTTTCAGATGTCTCTGATAACGTGAAACATGCTTGTTTCTTTTTGAAAAAGAAAAAACCCAGAAAATAAATGTGAAAATAAGAGGAAGTAATGTTCAGCATTGGAAGTCAGACGTATGATTTCATTTTCAAGAGTGAGGGATGTGCCAAAAGGAGGGAAACAAAGTTTTTAACGTTAAGAAATTAAAATTTGATTTTGAAATATTTCCCTTTATTTCAAATTTGCTAGATTTTTCAGCTCCTTTTTTTGGCTATGAGTTTTATGTTGACAGAGTCACTCAAAATCCATATTTGAAATCAATGTTTTCATTGTCATACTTAGCTATTTACCTGAGAGTGTGCAAAATCTGGATAAACCTTTGCCTGCATAAAATAAGAGGAAAAGGTAATATTGGGATGGCATATTTAAAGTAGGGCAAAGTTTACCAACATGATTTGTAAAAACAGAACAGATACTATTTGCCACATTTTGAAATTCTGGATATTTCTTCCTCTTGACTTTACTGTCTGAAGTTATAAAAGGATCCTTTGTTCTTTTATCTTCTAAAACTGCTGAGATTTTCCCAGTGCAAAATACTGAATTGTAATAGTGCTGCTCTACATTTATTTGTAATTTTAAATTGGTTTTCAGGTCGGTGTGGATGTCATGGATTGATTAGTATAAAGGGCCCTAGTAAAAACATCATTTAAGCCTACCTTGTTCCAAGGACCTATTTGGGATGTGTCTGGGCTGTTGCTGGTGGCAAATGCAGGTGAGCAGAGTTTACATGGCTAACTTTGTGTCGAAGTGGTTTGGCCATCTATCATTAATGCCAAACGGGTGCCATGACTCGCTTGGTAAATGAGGAGACTCTTGCTGACCTCTTCTGCCAGAGCCTGGAGAGCAATTTCTGTCCAAGACTCCTGGTGCCATGAGGGAAGGGGCTCTGGCAGAGGGCTTTGGACTTCCCTCCCAGGCTGTGCTGTGAGCCACAGGTGGCTCCCAACCCCTTTGCTTCCCAAAGGGGGAGAGACCCCAGGAACCCAGTCACTTACTGCGGACGGTGATCTCTGCCACTAAAACCCCTCCCGTTTGTTCCGTGCGTTGTTTCCTTTTGTCACATGTCTCAAGAGGTCAGAGAGAAAGCCGTGTAAACAAGAAAAGAAAAACAAAACTTAAAAAATCCAAACCTTATTCTCATGTTTGTAACCAAGGATATTAAATCTGTGTCAGTGTTGCTACGTAGGGATTTTTTTTTTCCCTCGTAATTATGGGGGTATTTTTTTGGAGCAGGAGGCCATAAAGGAGAGTGTTCACAGTGCATTTGCTGTCAATTTTAGTGTGCCACAACCTTTAAAATGACTGTTAGTGTAAAGTGCGCTTGTCACTTGTGAGATGGCAGGAGCACAGATGGCTGTTTGCTTGCTATTCACAAGTCCTCTTGGGCTGTCCTTTCCATGCTGCCTTAAACAAAACTCCTGTCAAGAAGGAAGAGGGGAGCTGAGCGCCATCTATTTAACCCATGACCTCTGTGAAGGCTTCTGTTGTTTATTGTTAATTAGAATTGTTGTCCCTTGGGTAGAAACAGGAAGAACCAAATCCCTTTCATATAGATCTTCTCATGTCCAGTGCTAATGATGTCTGTCACAGCTGACAAGGTCTGTGTTGGAGGCCATGCTCTACAGATTAAGGGTCCTTGTCTGTCTCCTGACCTTTGCAGACCCCCAGTTGTGGGCATTTGTGTTTTTTCACAAACTCAGTGTGTGGTAATTCTGGTTATGAGTTGCTTGTAAGCATAGACTCACAGCTTGCTTCAACCTTAATTGCAGCAGACCACCAGCTGCATTTTTGGGTTGGAAATGGACCCAGGGGATGTTAGCCTGATTGAACAATTATCCTACGCTGGAAGGCGTGGAGAGAATTCCACCTTGTGCCTGAAAGGATGATGTAGATGTTTGGCAGTACTCTCAGAAAGGCAGGTACAGAGTACTGGGTTTGTGTTTTCTTCCTTTCTCTCTTTTGTGTTTTAACTCTGGTCTGTGGCTGGATAAAAAGTTGAAGAAACATTTAAAAACAAACAAGAATATCTAAGCCAAATGCCTTTGCTTTTGAAACTTAGAATTTCTAGCAATGCATTTTTGTCAAACCTGCAGGTTTTGAACAGATCAGTGCCCCCTGCTTAGTGCTGAGGTTGAGAAATAAACTATCATAATTTGGCTCCTGGACTGAGAAAGAGTTTAGAAAGAGATTGTGGTTTCACCAGGAGGGACACTTTTCCTTTTCCAGAAAGAAATACTTGTTGCTGCAATGACAGTATGTTGGCCAAGGAGTATTTTGGGCTTTCATGTTAAGCTGAATAAAATTCAGCTTCATTTTATAGCAATGACACCATTCATTGCATGAGAGAGAGAATAGCAAGGCTCTGGCTTAGTGAAGGAGGGAGAAAGAAGTCTTTAAAGAAAGACACTTCATTAACACTTTTGCATCAGTTGGTGCAAGCAGTGTGCACCTTCCATGCTAAATGACATGCCTGTATAGCATGCTTACCTCATTCCCACCTGGGGTCACAGGAACCTGCTCTTGGACCCCAGTTCCTGCTCCGGTGACAATTTATCTGTTCCATGCAGAATAGGGTGGCTGCAAGAGCAGTAACTTACTGCAGGATAGCAGAGAGGACTTGCCCTGGGAAGAGGGACTGGGAGGTTTTGTTTGACTAGTGGTGATCTTTAAGGCAGGTTCTCCCACTGTCCCCGGGGTGCCCTCAGCACCGAGACCTGTGGTAAAATGGGAAAGACTCTACTCTGCCTTTTTTCAGGCTTGTGTTTAACAGTAGCTGTTTGTCAGTATTGTAATCTGGGATATCGACAAGAACTGAGTTTTTCAATGGCTACCTCATTTCTCAATATGTTTGAACAAGTTGCCCAATGTTGCACACAGTGCCTGTGGCATGACAGGGGTCAGGGTGCACGGCTGGCCACTGAAGATCATGCACGGCAGTGACTCCACCTACTGAAAGGCCTGGCACTGGCTCTGCACCCAGCATGCCCTCAGGAAGGTCTCGCATCCTCTGTCTAAATTTAGCACTGTTTCTCTGGGAGGGAGGCCTTACCACCGGGCAGGAGAACTTCTCACTGTCACAGACGTGTGTCTCGCAGTGCAGCCAGACCTTGGACAGCTTGGGGATGTTGCGGAAGCGGAAAGCGTTGAACTGGAACGTGGCCCGGCTCGTCTTCCCGTTCTCATGCACGAGGATGGAGTTGTCTGTGGCACACCTGTGTCGTGCATGGAGAAACAGTGTCAGAGCCTTCATGGTTTTAGAGAAACATCTCCTGAGGTCGCAGTCTGATGAATGCATTTGCCCTGCTGTGGGCCAACTTCTCTTTTTCCCCCTCATCCCCTAGCTTGTGGCTCTGTCACCGTTGGGGCTGGGCTTGGGCAGAGATGCTCTCCCCACGTCCCACCAGCACCTACCCTTTGGTGATCAGAGGCCAGTGAATCTGGTAGAAATACTCAGAGGAGGGAGTTGCCCAACAGTTGTTGAGAACGACTTTGAACCTGGGGACACACAAACACTGATTAGCAAGGAATGTCCTGATTGCCAAGTCATTATTATCATAGAATCATAGAATCCTTTAGGTTGGAAGGGACCCTACCTGTCACTTAAGCCCTTAGCTTCCACTCCAGCAAATATGTCAGAACCAATTTCTGATGTTTCAACAATGAAAGGGGCTTCTTTTACACTTGAAAACTTGGCATTCTTTGAAAGACAAAGAGAAAGACATCATAATTTACTAGTAACATGCAAAGCAAAGGCACGTGGCAACTTCAGACAGTCTTCAGACTCCTAAAATCTGGACTCCTATTACTGGCAAGCTCCAAGCTCTATGCCTAGTAGTAGGGCTATTGCAAGCCCAAGATGGTGTTTAAAAATCTTTTTGGCTTATAACAATAATAAGTGACTGAATCTGATGGTATTTGTGTTGTAATATGTGTTATATCACAGCATGGGTGGGAAGCAAGCTTGCTGCTGCTTCTGGTACACCAAGAGGTGTTGGTGGAAGCTGGTGTGAGTGAGAGGCCGGAGATGACTGTATGGAATGGGAATGGGGTTGGGAGATGACCACATGTTTGGGTAAAGGAATGAAGACAGAAATTATGTGCCCATATGCAAAGGTTCATCACTCTTTGATTTATATTTGTGGTGGCCAGCATGGTGAGAGTTGAGGGGGCATGAGTGTACAGAAGGAGCTTTGCCAGCTCTAGTCAGTCATCCACTAAAGAGCCAGCCTGTTCAAACTACTGCACTGTGTGGTGCTCAGGTGAAAAAGTTTGGTTGCAAACACACTGAAGTACCTACCTGAAATCTTGCTGCCTTTTGTTGGATATGATCATAATGAAGCTAGCATATGAACTATATAAAAAGAACTATATAAAAACTAACATGTTTAGTCACAGCCTTTGTTTAGTTAAATCTACACACTAGGATTCAGGATTCTGGAGCTTTTGGACTATCTTTCCCTGCTATACTTTCTATAGTACTGATTTTCTTATGTCCCTTTCCACACCTACAGGGTGAAGTGGCTGTGAGGCACTACAGTATTCCCACTGCAACATTTGATAGATTGCATGCAGTGAAGTCAAGGTCTAAGGCTGTGTTTAGTGATCCATGGCTGTTAAGTGCCCTGGGAAATTCTCATTTAACCAAAGATATCTCCCAAAGCAGAGAACTTCCAGAAGTACTGTCACAAAGGTCTTACCAGTCCTTCAGCTAGAATGAGTTGAACCTGGTATAGTGTTTCTTCTCACAACTCTATTACTCTAGACTGTTTTAGGGTACTATCTTGCTTTTCTTCACAGCAGGTTTCAGTGTTGGAGGTCTGATTCCCATTCAGGCTTCAGCCCCTCATGCTGCGTTACAGTTATTTGCTGTTAATGCACAGACTAAAGGGCAGGTGAGACTGAAGTGTTTCCACTGGCTTAGACTGCAGCTTGGGCACTGTGTCTGGATGAAGAAATGGGCACATGAAGTACCTGGAAGTATGGCCCACCAGAGGCAAAGGGCTGTGTCAGGCATTGGCAGAGATGAATAGCAAGGTAAAATAAATATTTTAGTTTCATTTTGCCAGGAAGAGAAGAAGAACATTTCATTGAAATGAACCTTTTCTCCTTGGGGAAAATGTGAACAAAATAACAAAGGAGTGGTCTATTAGCTTTCTGAGCTTGTTCTGTACTTATGCTCAGTGGGAAAATGTGTTCATACAATTCAGCCACTCCCTCTTTGACTCCTGGGAGCCCCATGGCCATTATGGCCATTAGAACAAAACAGTCATTCGGCGAAAAAATTAAAGGTAATTGCTCACTATCTGTCGTTTGTTTTTGCAGCCAGTCTGTCAGGAGTTGACAGGAGTAGTGTGGTACCACCTGGGTACCACTATCCCCTGCCAGTGTATACTACCAGTGTGCCATACATCAGGAAAAAAGACCACATGAGCTTTCATGGGGCACCCAAAGCCTGACAAAATGCTTAGTCATCAACTGGTGTGTGAGGAGAGAGTCCCATCAGTCCACCTTGTGGTAAACTCTCCCTTTACATGGCCTGTGAATTTAACAGAGTATATTATTAATTGTGCTTCTTCTAGCTCTATTACAATAGGCTGTTTTGAAGCTTTTGACTGTAGTTTAGTGAAAAAAAGACTCCAGGACCAGACCTGGCTGCTCTAGCAGCACAGCGAAGCTGTGGGGAGGATGGGGATGTTTTAAAAGGTTGGGCTGATATCCAGGGACAGTATTTTGTTGGAAGCAAAAATCCAGCATGACCTGAAAGTCTCTAGGGAACACAAAATATCTGTCAGGTGAAAGGACAAGGAAGCAAACAGCAAAAGAAAAACATGGGGCTTTGCTCTGTCTGTAGAGACTGGTAGCAGTGGTGTCTGCAGGTGCATGCTGCACTTTGAGTGGGACTACAAACAAGCTTTGCTTGTTCTTATAAAACCTGTCAGTGTGTTGGAAACATCCCTCTCGGCAGAAAAATCTGCCTGATTTTACCACACTGTAATTATCTACTCCAGGCTAGTAATATTCCAGGCTGGGCAGCCCTTTTTTTCCAGCTGTTAGGCTGAAGCCTGTGGAAGGTAAAAAGCTGGGTGGTGAAGAGCACTTACAGAGTAGAAGTTGAGGGACAACTGACTTTCAAATGAGCCCGAGCTCCCGTTTTTCACATGGATGGTGGCCACCCTGGGGACATAACAAAATTTCTGTATGAGTGAGATGTGGTGCTGAAGATGAGGTGGGTGCACTCCTAGAAGAGAACGTACCTTTGGTCAAAGGCAGCCTGGTTCACCAGGTAGTTGGCATTGTATGTGCAGGTGAATGAGTAATTTACAGGCTGGCTCTTCACAATTACTGAGGAGTCATTGGAGACGATGGAGTTGTAGAAGTGATAAACAGGGTTCTTGAACTGTGAATGGTGAAAGAGAGCAATGCAGGCAGTACTGAGTCTTTGAGGTATCAGGCACAGCTTCATACTTTGCAACATGAAGACTCTATCTGGTAACAAAACACCACCCCAAGGAAACAGTTTTGTAGCTCCTTACATGCTGTGCTGCCTATACACTTGCCTTAGGATATATATGTGTTCTGTGTAATACAGGTGAATATGAGCAACTAACACACAGACTAATGTCACTAGACCCACAATTATTTTGCCCGTAGATGCAAAGCACAAATATTTGAATCTTCCTTCTTGATACTGGAGTTTGCCCCCTCCTTCCATCAATACTTAAAGCCTACTTGAAGCTTAAGCAAATGGGACTCTCAGGTGAGTCCAGACAATTTCTGAATCCAGCTCAGTAATGCTGAGCTTGATAGTCTTACCTCTGACTGTGTCCCACAGTATGATTTGTTTTTAGGTGACAGGTCAGGGATTATGAATTGGTAATATCCCGAATCGTGGATCCCATTGTAGCAAATGCCTCCAAGTGCCAGCTGATTAACCTCCCATCCATATGGACACTCCGGAATTTTGGTAATGATGGTTTTAGGATAGCAGTATACCAGAATTACATCTGAAAAGGAAATAAGAGATATTCTGTGGTGGTTTTCTTCCAAAGACATGTGTCAGCACATACCTACTTTCCATTAGGATTAAACTTCTGTGAGCTGGAAGATCCCCTGACATGTGCAGCTGCTGCTACACAAAACTGACCTTTGGGTTGTTAAATTCTGTCCTCTCTGGAAGAGTTTGGCCTTTGCCTTTTAATGAATGCAGAACTTAGTGTAAATTTTTTTATCTGTTTGGAATAGCTGGTTGAGGAGTAGAGACACTGCTGAGAAATGAAAACTGGCGACACTGAAATCTCTTGGCTTAGCTTATGCTACAGAGCTGGTTTCTGTGTAAAAAGGTGTGGTCACCATGGACTACATTTTTTATGTAAAAATAACATTGGTGAAGTTGTTTGTTAGGCTTTGATAGACCTGCATCTTTTTGTAGCAGTGTTAGATGTAGAATGGATATTCTGCCCTTTCTTTCCTTGCACTGGCATTGCAGCACCAGCACAAACTGGATTTTTACAATTCTCAAGCTAAAAATTAAGATCTAAAAATGAACTGAAATCCCAGCCCTGTTAACAGCAATGGTCAATAGCAGTGCAATACATTTACAAACATGGTGATTGCTAATACAACCAGAAATATTGAGCATCATAACTTGCAGACTGACTGCTTCATGACAGAGAACTGGACATTTTTCAAGGAGAATCAGATGGTGTGAATTACACTATCTGATGGGAATTCATAGGGCAAATATTGACTAACCATTAGTGACCTAAAAATTGAGAGAGACTTCCAATTTCCACAGTCAAAAAAAAAAAAAAAAAAAAAAGACACCCTGCCTGGAATTTTTTTTTTTTTTTTTCTTTTAAAGCCCTTGACACTCTCATTTTTACGATAAGTGCCTCATTTTGGAGTTTTTCCGTATCTGTTAGTTGACTTTCCCTGAATATTCCCTAGGGACCTTAACAGATCACTCCTTTCTGGTCATGTCATCACTCATTTCTTCAGCACACGAAGGTTGTTTCTGTTTGTGTTTATGGTATCATTTGCAACTCTGATGACTTCACAGCTATGAAAATTCCTGCAGGTCAGAGAACCTGCTTGTGTAAATGCAGGTGCTGAAATAAATGGCTGGAGGGCCAAATGCCTAAGATATATCATGAAATTACTGTCAGTGGTCTGACATCAGTCACACCTGTACAAAGCAAGCACTCTATAGTGAGGTGTATTCCAACACATTTCTAAAGCACTTTTCTTAATTGTAGTGAATTCTACATGACAGATCTGTCTGGCACCAGGTCATTTGAGTTTATAGACAGAAATCAGTGTACCTCCAATGGTTTTTGATTTTTTTTGTTTAATATAGCAGTGTGGTTCAGGTCCGTTCAGCCCAGCATATTCATTCACCACAAGTCATCTGATAGCAGTGGGACTAATGCCTAGCTTCGGCAGCAAAGATCTATTGCATCTAGCCTGTTCTGTTGCAGATAATTTCTAATTGTTGTTTTCTTTGCCATATCATCCCTGAATTCTGCTTGAGCTTAACTTTGTTGCACTGTGATTATTGCACAGAGTTAAGCACATACCTAATTTTCTATGGGGCTAGGAATTTAGTGGTACATGCTTTACTGTGCTAGCTGAAAGCAGATCAGTTAAAGAAATGTAAGGATTAGCTTTCCAGAATCTACAGTTTAACTTTCTGAAGAAAAACCTTTCCGCTTTTAAATAATAAAAAAAAAACAAACACCCCTTTGGCAGCTTAATTACAAGAGAAGATCATAGGAGACACATTATTTTACCTGCTTTATTTGGATTGCAAGGCCCCGCAAGAGTCTGAGCCAACAGGACCAGCAGATAAACAGTAAAAGTCATCATTTCTTGCAGTGATCCGAGGGCACAGCGAATAAAAGCTGAAATAATCTTTAAAACTGGAAATGAAAACAATGCGTTGACTGCAGACCTGAAACTGTAGCTACTGTTAAATATGTTCTTCTTGCAGACAGAAACAAATAACAAAAACTGATATTCTGTCACCCAACTTAATTGCATCTACAGGTTAAATATTTCCAAGACCATTGTTATTGCTGGGTCACTGCTGTGACAATTTTACAATTTCACCTTAGTGGTGGCTTTTAATTACTCTAGGTTTTCTTTGTTCTTGTAAAGAGTCTAAACCAAAAGTGTTAGTATAGCCAAATGAAACTGAAACAATGGAGTCTGAAAAAAAGGAAGAATAAAAATTACTAGAAGAAATACAGTGCTATAACATACATTTGTACTTATAAATTGAATGCTGAAACTATTCTCTGTGATGATGGCTTATCCTCATGTGTATAATCTTAACGTTTTGGTAAATAATATATTTTCTCCCTTACTGCTAAATGTTGAGTTTTTAGGGAAACATACATAGCAATAATTTATATTTCCACTTCAGGCCTCAAATCCAGAAGCTGTTTCCCACAGGGAGAAGCATGTACATTCTGTGGGATTGGGACTGGAGTTCTCACATTTTCCCTTTGTAGACACTCTTAAGTGTCTGCCCTCATACGCCTTCCTGAGCAAACTCTCAGAAGTAACAAATATTATTTAGGTAAAGAAAAGAATCTCCCAGATTAAGTATTTTCAACAGAAACAATCAGTTTCAACATTTCTCCTCCGCCTCTGTTTAAAAACATATAAAAGGCTCATACAGTACAGTTCAGTGACAATTCCTTCTAATTATAATCATATGCATTTAACAACAAATCAAGCATTTTACCTACGAGACAGGAAGGGGGTAAGTATTTCAGATTTTCATTCTGGTCTTATTCTAATAGCTGCGCTGTCGGCTCTTCTCAAGATGTCCTCGTTCAAATGAACCCAGCTGGCATTATCTTCGCTTTATATAAGCAATCTTGTAAAAGGAGCCCATCTCTGGTTAAATCTCAACCCGCCAGTATTGTCCAGTGTGGGGGAAAAAAAAAAAAAGTTATAAAAAACCAGTTCTCTTCCCTTAGATGGGACTGTATTGCTGCTATTTGATTTTTTAAAAGTCTCTTTATGGTGGCTTTTACAGATCTTGAAAATAATTGAACAGAAACCTGCTGAAGTATATAACTGGCACATAATTTCTGTTTTTACAAGTTATTTAGGAAAATGTAGGATTTCTGCAGAGGTGAAGCCACAGCTGCATTCTAGAATTCATTGACAGTGTATGTATAGGTATTATATGCCTTTCTTGAATGGCTTATTGCCAATGCCAACCTTTTGTGTCATGCAAGTGGACAAAAGTAATTTCAACAGATAGATACCATGTTGGGTTTTTTAACTAATTTTTTTAAGAGTTCACAGGCATGCAATCTGAGTTTAGGCAGGATCTTAAATAAGCCTCAATATCAGACTAAACATATACATAATTATAGTATCTGATATGATGTACATATAAGACTATGTAATATACATTAAATATTGCACTATGGGACGTATAAAATTGACCATTGCACAAAAGACTTAAACTAATTTCCTTTTCATATGACTGTCAGTCCTGTGGTTGCCATATGGTAGTCCTGGTCAGCTGGTAAGATTTTTTGGTGACCTGTTACATCCTGTTTGTGTTAGCTTTTAGTGATAGGCCCAGAAAAAGGACTTTGGTATGGTACTGCTATTTTACATGCCTGCATAAAAATGTGGGTTGTAAACAGTAAACTGGCATGGCCTCAACTTTGGGCATGTGTGTATCCACCCAGATCTGGGTGCCTCTGAGTTACCTATGCTCCGATATCTGTCTTGAGTGACAAAACACAGAGGATCTCACAGACCTTGTCTGTGGGGTTCAGTCCTGTGGGGTTCCTCGGAGGTGATTTTGATGTCTCACTCTACCCCATCGGTGGCAGGAGTTTGGTGTGGATCTGCCTTCTCTCAAGCAATTTTTGGCAGATAGGGGTTAGGCAGTAGTAGAGCTGTAACAGTTATTATCAGTCTGGAGTTTTTGAGGGAGGAGGAAGTGGGATGGAAGAGTACAATGACCCTGACCTTAACCTGAAATGCTAGACAATGAGTTTTCAGCTCTCCTGTGAGTGAGGTTTATGGGTACAATAGAGCATCCACTACAAAGAATGTCTCAAGGCAGATGGCATCAGCAAAGCACAGCCATGGCAACCCATGCATGAGGGATGCCAGCTCTTGCCCAGCGATGGGGGTGTGCAGGTGAATCTACAATGATATGAAAATGTTTATAAGCAATCAGGGGGACTTCTGCTTCTTACAAACTGATCCAAAGCCCTGAAGAAAGATTGAAAAGCCTATAAATTTGTTAGTTTCAACTTATAGCCTGAACCTAGACCTAAAGCTTCATAGGGATTGCAATACAAATCACATAATAGGCTGTTCACACTGTTCTTGTGAGCCAAGTCCTGCAAGCCATCACATTCTGATTTAAACGAGATTACTTAAAGATGTACACATGGATAAAATCCTTTGGCCAGATTTTGTTGTTATTTTAATTGAATTAAGGAATAATCCACTGAACAAGAGCCAAAGCTCATAGATGATTTGGTGTGACCTAACTAGGGATTATCCTCATCTGAAATCCTACAATAAGGAAGATTTAACTCCAGGTGTCTTTTTTTATAGCCTCACCTCAATTCCTGCCAGGCACTGAGGTCCAAATCTGTTTTCCTAAACCCAGCTCTGAATATACACTGTATAAACATTCACTTATTTTTGTCTTTCTGTGTGTGCAAGTGTGGTTTTGGTCTGGAACAAGAAACGGGGGTTTCTGGTGAGACATTATGACCCACCTTGTTATCAAGCCTATATAGCCTAGAAACAAGGGGAAACTTGCAGGACAAAGCCTGTGACTTTGGGCACAAGAAAGGCCTCACAGCCATGTACAAACTGATCCTTTAAGTTCAGAGTCAGCCCTGGGGTTGGCATTCGTCTCTCGGGTCTGCCCACACAGGGCTGATTTGGAGCATAAGATATTCGGCTAACCTTGATTAGGCTTAGTGTAAATGCCTTGCCAAAATTATGTAAGTGGTGAACCTCGCTGTAACACTAACAAAGCACTTGAAACATAGATTAGCTTTGTTCTGATGACTTTTAGCGAATACTGTAATTAAGTTATCATTGGTGTAATGCTACAGGTTTCAATGAAAATATTCCAGGATGGATCTAGTCCCATAATTTTTGAAAGAAAATAAATCTCTCCCTATCTTCTCACAGAAAAGTAATCTCCATGTACATAATACCCCTTTTAGGTGAAAAGTAGAAAACATAATGAAATCCACGAAACAAATTTGGCAGAAGTGCCAGCTGGTGTATAGTACTTTGCATTTGCATAAGAAACAAGCACAAAATGTACCTAAACCAACCAGCATTTGATATGTGCTCTGATCAAAGGTGAAGGCTTGGGGAAGGGTTAGGTTTCTCTCAGTAATTGCATACACAGAAAAAGGAAAGCCATTAAACTGCAAAGCAGACCATTGAGAATTGTTGTATTTCTCTGACTCTTTCCAAGGCCATTGAATAATCTCAGCAATCTAAGTATCTGTAAAGATTTTGACAAAGAGCAAATGAAGGCCTTATTGTGAATTTCACCTACAGGGCTCTTGGAGCCGTCTCTCCAGCTTTGTTCCTCACATTGTAATGGAAAGCTGTGTGAGTATCTGCTGTCTGGTTCTTACATGAAGAAAATGAGGTTCTCCCTTGCAGCTATTTAAATCTGCAAGGGATATTGTGAAGTCCGATTTTCATTGGTTTGTATAAAACAATAAACCTTAGCTATATGGGAGGACTTTTGGGGTAATGAGGATCAACAGAGATAGCTAGCTGATTTTGGGAGGAGTGAGATCTGGTGACACTTGCAATGAAGCCACAATGTATTGATGATGGTGTTTCCAACCACACATCAAAAACTGGCATACACAGTTTTGTCTGAGATGAGGAGTGTATTTATCTCACAGACTTGGAGGCATCCATGCTGGGTCTGGAAGCATGGCACCTGTATTTATATTGGGTCTGTTCTGAGTCAGTAGGTTGGAAATCCAGCACTACATTGATACAGTCAAACTTGTCCTGCATCCTAAGTCTATGGTGAGCTGTGCTGTGTAGACTCATTGCCTCAAGCTATAAATACCTTATGTATTTCAGCATTGTTTTGCCTTTTGTAGAATAAATACACTTCCAATAGTTAGTTACTCATGGCATGTGGTTGGTCACTCACTGTAGCACATTACTGAGTCACAATCCCTGGAGGTATTTAAAACACATGTAGATGTGACAGTTGGAGACATGGTTTAGTGGTGGACGTGGTAGTGTTATGTTTATAGCTGAACTCAATCTTAAAGTTCTTTTCCAACTTGAATGATTTTATGATTCTATGATTCTATTCCATTCTTGTAAGCAGATGATAGAACCATGCAGTGCATAACAGAGCACCTGGGACCTCCAGATACCCTGCACTCGCAGTCCTCGAGTGGCTGCCATTCTTCAGTAACTGCACAAGACAATTCATATGCAGGGGAAATGAGAAGAAATCAAGTTTGTGGAAGAGGTAGTCTCATAAAAATCAGAGATGGAGGTTCTGACCACCAGAAGAGAGAGTCTTGTGCTCTAAACTTGCTCATGCATCACCTGTCTGTGCAACTACGCAAGGCTGAATCATAGTTCCTCAGCAGTCACCTGCAGCCATACGCTTAGTGAGACAGGGCAGCTCTTGGTACTTGCACTCCCTGGGTTGGGGGAGAGCACAGGCTCTCAGCTGAAGAAGAATTCCTTTGACATTTCTGCTGTCCAAGGCATTCACACAGACATTTACAGCAGCAAATCTTGCCGAGCACAGAATTGTGGCTGAAGTAAATAATCATATTTCTTGTTCATTTGAATATGTGTTCCTG